CTAAACTTTACTCTGTTAAATATAGTCAGAGTAATTATAGTCCTTGCAAAATGTTAAAGGGGGGGGGGAGCCCTCTTCCTCTCCTCCGCCTTACAAACTGAAACTTACTCCTTTCTTTCTCCCTTCCGCCACCAACGGCTCCCCACATTGGGGCATATGCATTGGGGCACATGCAGGAGGGAACCCCCCCCCCACTCCCACCTTTGCTGCAAGCCTACCCAAAGAGAAACCCCCCCCTCCCTACAAAATAAGCCCTCCAGGGGTAAAAGCCGCCGCCTCTCACTCCGTCGAGACTCACCTGAGCTTCTTTCTCCCGTCCGGGCTGTTCAAAGGTGGGGAGCCCAAGATCTCTTCCCCGCTAGCCCCTCCATGGCTCGCTGTTGTCTCTTTAAGCCTCTTTCTGTCCCTCTCCTCCCCAGCAGGCAAAGAGCAACGCCTTTGCGCCAGCGGCGTAAAGCCCACGTGCGCCCTATGGCATTGACGTCACGGCGTCGTCGTAAACCGCGTTGGTGAATAGCGAGCTCCGCTTCTGGAGCTTAGGAGACTCGCCGCCTTCTCTCTAAGTCTGGCCATCCGCTGGAGGGGGGGGGGNAAGTGTGCCTTTGCACAAAAAAGGTTGAAAAACACTGGACTAGAGAACCTCCCAGGTCCCTTCCAATGCTGTTATTGTGTTACTCTTAACCTGATCCTTCAGATTTTCCAAAGGTGCTCCCATCAGCATTGGTTATTACTGTCAGTCATCCTCTTCTCTTTCCTTCTGCCTTTCCCAGCATTAGGGTCTTTTCAGAGAGCTGGGTCATCATTTATAACGAGAAGCAGATTTAACATGAAAAACAGGGAGAGAGAAATCTTTTATTAAACTATGAAGTTGACAAGCAAAAATGCAAAGCAATTCTCAAATGGGAAAGTTCACAAACAAAAGGCTAATATACTGTATATTTTCATGGCTTGTGCTAATTTGGGCCCTATTTTGCACCTGCCAAAGACTTAGTTGCGATAAAACAGCCTTTTTTCTCCCTGCTAGATGTAAAACAGACAGGTTGAACTTGTTGAGCTGCCAAGTAAGCTGGCACTCTACCCTCAAATGAAGGGGGTTTACATTAATTCTAATCTAATTGTGGGTAAGCTCCATTGTTCTTTAAGCACAATTTAAATCAGCATTTCCCCAAAGGGGTAGCGCTGCCTCCTGTGGGACAATTTTGTAGTTTAAGAGAACAGTAGAAATTAAGAAGACATTGAGAAACATCTTTTGCCACACTACGTAGATCTTCCAATCTCTCTTTTTGCAACTAAAAAAGGCTAATAGGAAAGAGCAGCATAGTGGCCTAGTGGTGAAGACGCTCACCTCCCACTCAGAAGGTTGAGAGTTCAGTCCTAGGTAGTGGCAGTTTTTATTTCCTAGGGTGCAAAGAAAAAAATATCTGCTGTGAACTCCATGTAGGCTTCAGGAAGGGCATCTAGTCAGTAAATGCTCAGCTCCACCCAATCACCCAAACTCTACCCAAAACTAAGGAATTACAGGGCCCTTAAAAAGGGAGTTAAATAGGAAAGCACAGAGTTTATAAATCAGAACTTGTAAAGAATTTCATTAAGGTTGTTGCAATGACTGTAAACATAACATGTTCCTGAAGTAGTGATTACTTATAATAGTAGCGTGTTAGCCAGGAAGCGAAATGATTTGGTAATGGTATGTGTTATTTATCTACTGATGGATATTTGTCTGTGATACATTATTTATATAATTATCATTATGGTTTGTCTCACAGTCAGCCAGATGTTCAGACTGGGTTTGGCATTTTTATCCTCCTGTCGAGTCCTTCTTAAGAACCCAGGACAGGCAGAAGTGGATGTTTGATGGCATTACTCAGCTGTTTTGCAATTGACTGATGGTGAATTTGTCAATGCCAATGATGTTCAAGTGGTGTATCAGTTGTTTTGGAAGTCCACTGCAGCTGCCATAAATACATGCCAGTTGCCAAATGCTCAATTGGCATGTATTTATGACCATGTATTGATCATGTGACCACGGGATGCTGCAATGGTTGTTAGTATGAAAAGCAGGGATTAGGCCTTTTCCCCCCACTGCCATTGTAACTTCAGCCATTAAACAAATGATTGTAAATTGAGGGCTATGTTCTGTCTTTTGCTAATAGCAGCCTTGGTAGCTTATATGCAAGCTACTTATTCTTATTCAATTTTATTATTTATGAATTAGCCTCCCCCCACTGCAAGAATGTTTAGTGTACTCTAGTGTTTTAGTCGATGGATTTGTTATGCATTTTATTTTTCTATTATGTATTTATATATAAATACATAAAATATACACTATATTGTCGAAAGTATTTGCTCACCTGCCTCTACTCGCACATGAACTTACTGTAAGTGACNGGGGGGGGGGCGCCCGTAAAGGATTTTTGGCGCATGCGCCGAAGAAATGGAAGGGGGAAGAAAGAAAAAGGGAGAGGGCGCAGGCGGGAAGAAGAGAGAGAGGGGGAAGCGTAGAGGAGACGGCGCGGTGGCTGCCTGGAGAAGACTTCCGGCTTTCTGTAGGATGCTGGCCGGGTCGCCCACGTGAAGGGAAAGAACCGTGCAAACTCTCACGCTTTAATGCAGAATGTTTGGGAGAGTCCTAACCACGAATGTTACCCTAATAAAATCATGCCTATGGTGATTTTGAATTGGACCCCGATTAAATTTATTGTTCTAATTGAGGTTTGGGGATTCATACAATTACAGTGACCATGCCTCCTTTGTAATAAAGACAAGTCCTTTCATAAAGCAGCCCTTTATATTTAATTATTTCCCTGGTTTTGTTCATGTTCTTGTAAGCAAAGGTGTTTTTTTTAAAGCAAAGTTTCTAAATCTTCATTTTTCAGACTTGCCCTTTTTTTCAGGTTTTTTCCTGTATTTGTTTTTCCCAAAAAATATCCCTGTAAGGATAATGTATTTGTACTGGATAACACACCTGGGTTTAGGCCCAGCTGATTATGAAATAAATCTGCACTGGCATGCATTGAAATGACCTCTTACCATATTTTTGTATATTTTACGCTAATTTATTTCATAATACAAAAGAATGCAAAAGGTGGACAAACAATGAAGTACAAACAAGAAGAATAAGAAACAAAAGAAACCTCAAGTAATGATTTAAAAAAACAGGACAGAAGACCTTCCAATTATTCAGCATTTAAATATTTTTATTAACTTAACTATGCGCCATCAAGTTGTTTCTGACTCCTAGCAACTACCTACCACATATATACTAACATATTTTATAAGAATCATACTCTATTAATTGTTGGATTTTTTTAAAAAATCACTGTTTATAAAATTACTTTTTAAAAGAACAGGAAGAGATTAAATCTAGGTTTCTATCCGCCACAGCTTTGAAAGATATAATATAGTCTAGCTCTCAAGGTAAATAAACTTTTGCCAGTTCAAACCACTGAAATGACCAAATGTTTCTCCACTGGTGAAGCTTTTTCTGGATGCAAGAAACCCGAATAGTTGCTTGTCCTACAGCCCTGCAGTCTAAAGTAATAATACCCTACAAAGCCACATCAAAAACCTGGTTCCACAGTCTACTTTACAACACAGATAGTTCTTACAACTTACAAAATTGAGCCCAAAATTTGTTGCTAAGTGAGACATTTGTTAAGTGAGTTTTGCCCCATTAACGACTTTGCTTGCCACAGTTGGTAAGTGAATCACTGCAGATGTTAAGTTAGTAACCTGATTGTTAAGTGAAACTGGCTTCCCCATTGACGTTGCTTGTCAGAAGGTCACAAAAGATTGTCACTTGACTCTCGAGAATGCAACTTTGAACATTCAGTAAAGGAACTGTTGTAAGTCAAGGATTACCAATACTATACTTTTTAAGGAGAGCGAAAATAGGGAAAAGGGCAGTGAAGTCATAGATACAGGTATCATCAAGCGTCCTTTGAACCAAGAATGAAGACTGATGACAAAATACACTTTTTAAGGGTACAATTTAAACATGGTTTCCCACTGTCATCTGTGATTGTTGCAACTAAATGTTCTAATTCATAGCTCTGATTTTCTGATGTTCTAATCTAACTTGAGCATTGTCGATTTAACCTTAACTTTTTGAAATCAACTAAAGTTAGCTAAGTGCTGCCATCTAGCGTTGTTGAGCAACCACTATCAGAGATATACTGCTTTCTAGTATCGGAGGTAAATAGATGGCCAACTGTCTTGCAAAAATTAAATATATTTTGACAATAAGAAAAATAAATGATATTACAGCCCTTGGCCAATCAGAAGTATCTTTTTGATGCCCTTTGGAAAACAATGTTTTCTTAAGTATAGATGGCTCAGCAGCTAAGACGCTGAGCTTGTCGATCAGAAAGGCTGGCAGTTCATTGGTTCGAATCCCTAGCGTCACGTAACCGAGTGAGCTCCCGTTACTTGTCCCAGCTTCTGCCAACCTAGCAATTCAAAAGCATGTAAAAATGCAAGTAGAAAAATAGGAACCANCCTGTGGCCATGGAAGTGATTGGAACACCTGATTCTGATTATTTGGATGGGTGAGGGAATACTTTTGGCAATATAGTGTATTTACCTCAGGCATCTGAATCCAGTTAGATGAAGTCCCCTTTTAATTGTCTAATTATCTAATGTACTCACAATTTTATATTATACACACACACACACACACACACACACATATATATGGTTTTGGTTTTTTAACTAGGATTAGCAATTCTGTTCACACAAAGAAATATCCTATTTTCATCTAAAATCAGACAGGAAATTGGAAAAACCATGAAACTCTGTGTCATAAGGCATCGCTATGAATACAGCACTTTTTATAAAAGGTCTTTTAAGATGGCAAATATTATCTGCAGTTTCCAAAATGAGTGCTCCAAAAATATTGAAAATAGGCCATCCCAAGTACAATTTCCCATTCTGAAGAATCTTTCAATCTTAAAACCTTTTCCCAAAAAGACTGAACAGATCTGACATTACATAAACACAGCTTCTACTTCCAGTAGCCAAGCTTCATTTATTTTTAAAGGGAAAAAAAAACCCCTGAATGAAATAACACACCACATCACAATGCAAACAAATAATCTACAACATGATGCAGAATAAGAATAGTAATGTTAATTCTCCACAACATTTATCTCTTGACCCAAAACCATGTTATCAGTTCCCTTGGGAATAATGTAAACATTTACAAAAAATTTAAGTGTTATATAAGTACATTATATTAAGACAATGGCGGACATGATACATTGGCAAGCGATTCAGTTCTCAAAACGTTGTTCTGAAGGACAGCGTGATTTGAGGAGGAGAGCTAAGAACACCAAAGCAGAAACTGCAGCAGGAGATGAATGGTTGGCGGGGTTCCTGGAGTGGGCAGAGCCATGGCACAGAAACGAGGTGGTCCCGCAAGATACCCTCACCCAAATGCTTGCCAAGGCCCCTGACCACAATTTTCTGCTTGGATAATTTGATTTTGCAGATCTCATCTAGGGCATTTTCTTCTCTGGTATTAGAATTCCCGCTAGGTACCCAGGGAACAGCTGGCCTGCACTACAAGCCCACTCCCCCTTCTGCAAAACAACCCAACAGGAGCAAAATTTGCTGCTGCTACTGCTGTTTAACTGGTGTTAAAGGAGAACTCGAGGGGGTCTTTGCTGACTCCTGCAGAAGGAACGCAACCCCTCCCCAATTTGGCAAGAAGTCTGGTCCCACCTCGCCCCGCTTTTGAGAAAACGGCCCTCCATCCCGGAGTCCACCAAGATGCTTTTAAGGCAGCCTTGTACCCAGGAGTTGCCTGCCTGGGTATCCTGAGTTTCAAGAACCAGTCAGCTCATTTATCTTCTCAGCAGCCAAACTGGGAAGTCCAAAAGTGCAGAGTATTTAAAAAAAAAAAAAACTGGTGGTACTGAGGAAATGTTTAGCAGGGGGCTCCTCTGAGAGATGGGGCCTGTCTACAACAGGAACCCTGCAGGGTAGCTATTAGCTAGGCAGCATTTCCCCCTCTGGGCTATTTTTTTAAAGCAATTAAGGCAAAGGCAGAGGAAGTAAAGCTCATGCAATGCAACGGTGTGATGTCAGCGATGCAATTTTAAAGCGGGCGGCTCTCTGGCACTTTGGAACAAGTGTAATGCATTTTAAAATGGCAGGTGCTGGGGGTTTTTTTCTTCAAAGCCCACATCTGGAATGTATCAAGAAATCTCACAAGGAGAAAGAGAGAGAGAGAGAGAGAGAAAGAGGCTCATTTTCACGAATCTGTTCCCAAAGAAAGGCCAGTAGAGGTTTTTGGCCTCTAGCATTAGCAGTTTTCGTTTTCTTTGGCTCACTTAACATATCCTTGAGTGGGAGCACTTGGCCCTCGTATTTACAAAACAGGCAGTCTTCCAATGAACCAAGAGGGGAATCCCTCCAGGGTCACTAAATATGACAAAAAAAAATATATGCTGAGATTTGGGGGCGGAGGGAAACAGACCAAAGTAGGTAAAATTGGATAATAAGGCACATATTACAACCCACTTCTCTGTCCTATCCCTATTCTCCCTTCTGTCTCGAGGTGCTTTTTCACTTTTTTTTTTTTAATAAACCCACATCATTTCCCCCCAAAATAATGTATTTTGTAAAGAAGAAAGGGGGTGGGTGGGGAGAACAGGACAAGCCTTCTCCTCAGAAAGCAAATAAATGCAATGGTTTGAAAAGGCACCTAATTGCTGGATGAGGGGTAAGGTCCAGATGACTTAACGGACAGCTGTCTTGCTTTCGGAGTCTGAATGCTTTGAGGCAGCCTGGCCACATCTGGCCACTTTCAGATATATGGGAAGCATAAAAGCCATGAAATTCCTTACCAGCATAGCTGAGATAGCTGGGCGCTGTTGCCCCAATTTGTTGGATCAGATTGGGCAAGACTGCTTGAGGTAGCACAATAACTGGTACCTTCCAGAAAGCCTCCTTGGGCAAGGAATTGGCTCAGGTTCTGAGGAGGATTTTACCGCCCAGGATGCCAGAATTAGGCTTCACACAGGTGAGAAGAGGAGCACTGACTGAACAGGGTGCCCCCAAAGGCATAGGAGACCCAAGACCATTGGAAAGTTGTGGAAGAGATAGAGGAGAACTGTTGAAATGTCAAACTTGCCCAGCCAAAGCGATGTTTCTCAACCTCGGCAACTTTTAAGAGGTGTGGACTTCAACTCCCAGAATTCCCCAGCCAGCACTGGCTGGCTGAGGAATTCTGGAAGTTGAAGTCCACACCTCTTAAAAGTTGCCAAGGTTGAGAAAGGCAAGTCTACTTGCACTTAGCGGCTATTAAGACACCCCACAAAAAATAATCTGAGGAAAGAAATACTTGTAGATGCCGCCCGATTGTGGGGTCTTGACACTGCGTGGATTCTCATCCATCCGCTTTGAGGTAAAGTGGAATATGTAAACAGAATTTGATCTGTCAGTACCAGCAATGAAAAAAGTTCTGTGGTTTAATTATGGGAATTTTTCCCCCCCAAGAGGGACAGGCTCAGGCCAGATCATAGTCACTGTCAAAGTTTCTATTTTAGCAAGCAAGTTAATAGCCAGCAAGGTAGGAGGAAGAGAGCATAAAGCAAAACACTCTGAGCAAAACAAATAAGCAAAACAAATACCTGTTAACAGGTCGAAACTTCCAGAAAATGGGTCCTATTTTAGGAGAGCAGGGGCCACATTTGAATTAATTCCCCCTTAATTAATACAGTTCTCCCAATACGGAAAGCTAGCAGTTCCGTGAGAAGATTAAACCATGCTGCTAACTTTCTATTTCCAGGAATTATTTTCCTGGGAGAAAGATTCAGTTACAAAACTCCTGCTCTGATAGCAGCAAACATTAAAAAATAGTTATCGTCATGAGCAAGCTGCCCTTTGTGCCTATCACACTATCACACGTTTCCTTTCACAACAATCTCTTGAGCTGCAGGATCCCCAAAGGTACAGGGAGTCAGGATTAGCACACGAGCACGCTCAAAAACAGGGAAAAGGCAAGAAAAGTTTAAGTCACTTTCCCAAAATCTTCAGGGGAAAGCCGCTGCCATCATAAAAGGAGAACCATAAATAAAACCATGGTTAGGGGAAGGAAGAGCACCCACCCCTAAAGGAAAAAGAGAAAGAGGGAGAGAAGGAGAGAAAGAGAGAGAGACTCAAATGAGGAACGCAATGTGTTTCTTGCAACAACTCAAACCAAACTACTTCGGCAACCCCAACAGCAGGCCAGGATCAGGACCAAGGGTTTCCGTAATTGGGAACGGTTGGATATTCAGGGAGGCTGTTTCCTGAAAAGTTGCTGTGCTGTGCTTCCCTGCTTGGAGGATCTTTCCACGATCCATTCTGCCATTCGTTCTGGGCTTTCTGCAAGCTTCCGCCTCCACTACGGTAGATCCGGTGAACCTGATTGGAAAGAGAAAGAAAGAAAGCAGGGATCAAACTTCTATCTATTGGACGTCCGTTCTGCACTTCCGTCCAAAGCATTGACTTTCTTTCCTTTAACGTGGTATAGAAAAAAATAATGAATCAGAGGTGAGGATGCAGGGGTGAGGTTTAGCCTGGGATACAGGGACTAAGATCTCAGAGTGATTTTTTTAAATTGCCCCCTTATAGCTGCAATTTGCTTTCATGCCCCCATTGGCTAATCACAATATGTTTTATTAATGTTATTAATTAAGGCTCCTTTCAGAGAAAAGGTTACTGTACTTACCCTGTTTCCCTGAAAATAAGACCTTCCCAGGAGAGGTGGGTTCCTACCAGTTCGCACCAGTTCGGTAGAACCGGTTCGTCAAATCTACCAAACCGGTTAGAAGAGGTTCCACCAGTGGACCCGGAANCTCATTCATCGGCGTGATTTCAAACTCGCGGTTTTCTCCTCACGGTTTCGTCGGCGCGCTTTTGTCGGTGAACCTACTTATAAAAGGCTGCCTGACTTCAAACAACCCTGGGTGGATTACTTTTTAAAAAGGAGGATGACAAAATGTAAAGAAATAAAAACGTATGTCTCCAGAAGGCGACCCCACCTGACAAAAAAGGAAAAGTTTTCAATGATTTTCTGAATGACATCAGCTATTCAAACCTCTGGGCAGAGGCCATTCCAGAGGGCAGGCATTGTGACAGAAAAGGCATCCTTCCTAGGGTTCTAATAAATATAGCTAGTCCTTGAGTTGCGACCGCAATCGAGCCAAATATTTCTGTTGCTAAGCAAGAGAGTTATTTAGCGAGTTTTGCCCCATTTTACTCCCTTTCTTGCTACAGTTATTAAGTGAATCACTGCAGTTGATAAGTTAGTTGTTAAGTGAATCTGATCTCCCCATTGATTTTGCTTGTCAGAAGGTCACAAAAGATGATCACATGATCGTGGGATACCGTAATAATCATAAATGTATGCCAGATGCCAAATATCTGAGTTTTGATCATGTGACCATGGGGATGCTGCAACTGTTATAAATGTGAAAAATATTTTTTTCCAGTGCCACTGTAACATCAAATACCATATTTTTTGGAGTATAAGACACACCAAGATTTTGAAGAGGTAAGTTTTTTTTAAAAAGTTTTTGCACTCTGCAGACCTCCTAAACCCTCTGCACACCTCATTTTTTGTGAAAAATGGGGCATGCAGAGAGTTTGAGAGGCCTGCAGAGTCCTCCTGGGGGCTGGGAGGTCCCCCCAAAATGAGCAAAAAAGAGCCTGTTTTTCATTCATTTTTGTCCTCCCCAGCCCCCAGAAGCACTTCTTTGCAGGCCTCCCAAATCCTCTGCATGTCCATTTTTGTGAAGGGAGGGGGGTTTCGGGAGGCTAAAATGCTCTATTCAATGTATAAGACGCACCCAGATTTTCACCCTTTTGGGGAGGGGGGGGGAGAAAGGTGCGTCTTTTATTCCGAAAAATATGGTAGTCATTAAGTGAATGGTTGTAAGTTGAGGACCACCTTTACAGAATTATAGAATAAGAGTTGAAAAGGAGCTTGGAAAACATCTAGTCCAACCCCTGCTCAAGCAGGAGACTTTGTACCAGCGGTCCACAACCTTTGCGGCTTGACAGGCTCGGCTGGAGGGAGAGAGGGGAAGTGAGCTGCGTGAGCCAGTGGTGGGTTTCAAAAATTGTTCGAACCTACTCTGTGGGTGTGGCCTCCTTTGTGGGAGTGGCTTGCCGCCCATGTGACTGGATGGGAGTGGNGTAAAAATGCAAGTAGAAAAATAGGAACCATCTTTGGTAACAGCGTTCCGTGCGCCTTCGGCATTTAGTCATGCCGGCCACATGACCACGGAGACATCTTCGGACAGCGCTGGCTCTTCGGCTTTGAAACAGAGATGGCCATTGCCGCCTAGAGTCAGGAACAACTAGCACATATGTGCAAGGGGGACCTTTACCAGTATTGTGGGCTCATTGATACAAATCTTTGGTGCCAATGTAGTCTACTTAATATGTGATGTTCTGGCATTGCAATTCCCAAAATATATTTTGTTGGTCACACTTCATCCTCCATTTCGGGGTTTGCATTTCAATTCAGATAAACTGGAGAGTTTCAGTCATCCAGGTCATGGTTGTCCCAAAGGTGCTTTTCAAAAGGCAACTGGACTTCCTTGGTTTTTATCTTGAAAATGTTTTGTTTCTCATCTAAGAAGCTTCTTCAGTTCTCACTGAATGGTGGGGAACAGAAGGATTTATAGAATATAAAGCTTTGCAGAATATAAATGTGTTGAGTATAATATAAATGAGTTCTGAAAAGTATATAAATCCTTCTGTTCCTCGCCATTCAGTGAGAACTGAAGAAGTTTCTTGGATGAGAAGCAAAGCATTTTTGAGATTAAAAACCAAGTCCAGTTGGCTTCCAAAAAGAACTTTTGGGACAACCATGACTTGGACTGAGAATCTCCACAGACATAAACTGGAGAGGTTCAGAAATGAAGGAGACGGAGACTAAAAACTAAATTCCATGAAGAGTAAGCAAAGGGCAATAGGATAGTAGTTTCAAACCCCTGAAAGAATATGTAGAAGGCCATATTCTACATTGTTCTGAAGTACAAAATATAGAATATATTACATACTTTAACAGTCAGACAGAGGAAGCCATTATCTCAAGAGATGATATTTTCCCTTCCTAGAATGCATTCAAGAGTTTGGATTTCTGCATGGCGACCCAATTTATGCTACTTTACCACAGAAACGATGCAGAAAAGGACAGCTGAACCTGTCAAGGCCTTCGAGCAATTCCTGTGTGAACAAAGTGACAACACTGGGGGGAAATTAGGAGAACAGAGATGAATATAATTAACTGGGGGAGCGGGTGTAGAAAGTGAGAAGGCATCTTTCGTAAAAGCAGACTTTTTAAGAGCTGGCTTGCTTCGACATAAACCTGCTAAGATCAGCAGAAGAGGCTATCTAAAAAATGCCCTCTGAACGAAGTTCTCCATTTGTTCAATACATGGGAAATGACCCCCATCGATATTGCTGTCGAGTTATGCAAAGGAATTATTTCATAAGATAATCATCTCCGCAACCATGTTTTTTTTTCTTTTTCTAGAAAAGACAAACTCTTCTCCTGCTTTACCCCTAGCCACTCCAATCTGAATGAGTTGTGATTTTAATTTTTCAAAATCTGATTTTATTTGTTCGTGTTTTATTTTTTTTTCTAGTTAGCATTGTTGAGTGTCTTCTGGATAGGAGAGTGATATATATAACAAATTAGTGTTGTTGTTATTTAGAGTGGTGTGGTGGCCTAGTGATGAACAAGCTTGTTCCTCACTTTGAAGATTGAGAATTCAATCCCAGGTAGGGGCAGATGTTTCTCTCTAGGTCTCAAAGAAAAAAATACCTGCTGTGAACTCTGCATGGCATCAGGGAGGGCATTCGGCTAGTAAATGCTCAGCTCCATCCAGTCACCTGGTTCTACCCTGAATTAAGGGATTACAAAAAGGGAGTTACTGTTACTGTTATTTACTACCAATCCAACAGGATTTGGTACTTTTGACTATTGGTTCCTTCTCAAGGATTTGGAATACTTAAAGAGACCAATGTAATATGCACTGTTCCATGTAATGTTGCCTTTTTAACTGATGTGTTGAGATTCTGTCTATTTTTATTGTGTTCAAGTGCTTTGCCAGATCTTTTGGATGGCACCAAGTTCATCAACTACTACTGGCATTACCAACTTTCTTTTTCCACATTTGCTCGATCTGTATTTGAAGGTCTTTACATTTCCCTATTTTTCTACTACTTCAGTGGGGAAGAACAAGTCAAAATAGATTTTTTTAACTGGTCAATGAAGACTTTTACACAATAAATGTGTAAAAGGAAAGTAGTAATGGTGACATTATTACAGTTGATAATGTTATTATTATATACAAAATATATGAAATCATAGCTGGCAATTATTTAACTGGCATTGGCCTTTTGTACACATCAAATTCTTCCCAAGAACCTGGGATGTTGTGTTATTGTTATATCAGAGAACGTACATGATTAGATTTTGAACAGATTAAAGGATATAATCAAGGAAGATGTAAAATAAGGAAAAATGGTCGTGTTACATATCAATAACTTCAATACAGTACTTCATAATGGGATTAGGTAACTATGTGAAGAACAACAGAAACTCTGTTTACATATTGGGTGTGTTCAATGATCCCATGAACCATAAGTAAACTATTCACATTTTAGCACCCCATGATGTACAGTATAAGCCAAGCCCATAGAACTAGCTTATGGTTCTGTATGTTGCTTCAATCCAGGAAATTGGTCATATTTGGAAAACCACCATTAACTTGAACATGGGTATGTGCTACAAACCCAACCAATGTGTTAAGCCATTGTTTTAAAGTGTGTTTTTTTTCTGTAATAAACGAGTAGCTGAGTGGTGGCTGGATTGGAATAACAGGTGAAACTCACATATAGTGGATACTCAGCAAGTAAAACTACTAGACTACCTTTAGGAGAAGAGCTGGCTAAACTGGAAGGTGAGGTTAAACATGTCATAATCTTGGAATCTTTGCATGCCACAAGAGACCAAGTCCAGCCCCCGTGAATTACCTTGATCTTTATTTAACACCAATTTAGCTTGGACTGTAAATTGACTAGATTCTTGTATGGAGGTAGAAATAATAAACTCTTGCTATGAACTCAACAAATGCTCCTGGTTATTTGTAACTGACACCATCTAGCCCATGGGTGATGGCTCTTGAGCTGCTGCAACTAATGTCTAAGATCCTTGATCTGGGGAAATGATCCCACTGGATTTTTGTCATGAATATTCGGACTCTTTCCTGAAGCTTGCTGATTCATACATTATGAAGTCCATTGCCAAATCTACTCAGGGATTAAGAGGACTAAGAGGAATAATGAAAACCCAAGCAATTATTTTTGAGAACATATGGCCTTTTCCAGCCCTGAATCAGCCTAATACCAGTAGATAACTAAAAATTATTTAAGTATTATCATTATTGACCAACTAACCTTAAATTGAAAAACCATAAGGTAACTGATAAAACAATAAACTGATAAAGGTCATTAATTTTCATTAAAAGTTACCAACTGTAAAAAAATGTTGCAGCATGCAAGGAACCAGATGAATTTCCACTAGAAAATAAACAGAACAAACCTGAAAGCTAATAATGTGAAGATGCATTTCTTCATAGTTGCAGCAGAAAACTCTTCCAGCCCTGCTGGGGATTGAACTTGAGTATGCACAGAACAAATTGCTGGTGATCAGGAGTTAGTTATAAAGAATGGGAAGATGCTCCGAATCAAACGATTATTAGACGTCCCTTCCAAAAAGTTTTATTTCAAGAAACAAAAATTGGAATTAAACCTTGAATACTGGATTATTAATTTCTTTAAAGTTCTCTGGTATTTTTCTCACCTGTGTTTAAGCAGCTACCTGACCTCTTTATGCTTTTGGTGTTTAAAGCAAACAATCATATTCTTAGAATTAGGTGAAATGCAACATAGCCAAAAAAGAAAAGAAAAACCATTAAAGGTATATAAAACAAATGGCTGTTCCAAGTATAATGGGAGTTGAATGCCAAAACAAATCTATAGAGAGAAGCAACACAAAAGGGACTTTGCTGAGTGCAATAACCAAATTCTATACTGTGAGAGGGATCTTGGAGTCTTAGTGGGCAACCAATTAAATATGAGCCAACAATGTGCAGGGGCAGCCAAAAAAGCCCATGTAATCCTAAATTGCATTTAATTCATGTTAAATTCGATGCTACTCTATAAAGCCTTAGTAAGACCACACTTAGAATACTGCTTCCAGTTTTGATCACCACACAATAAAAAAAGATGTGGAGAGACAGAAAAGAGCAACAAAATTGATTAGGGGCCTGGAGATTAAAACATATAAAGAACTGTTATAGGAACTGGACCTGGATAGTCTAGTGAAGAGAAGGACTAGGGGAGACATGATAGCAATGTTCCAGTATTTGAAGGGCTGCGGCAAGCTATTCTCCAAAGCACCTGGAGGCAGGACACGAAACAATGAATGGAAACTACTCAAGAAAGATTCAACCTAGAACTGGGTTGAATGACCCAGTTAATGAGTACAATCAACCAGTGGAACAGCTCACCTTCAGAAGCTGTGGGGTGCTTCCTCACTGGAAGCTTTCAAGAAGAGACTGAATAGCCATCTGTCAGAAATGGTGTAGGCAGAGTCTCCTGCTTGGGAGTGGTGCAGGGTTGGACTAGATGACCTACAGGTCCCTTCCAACTCTGTTAATCTATACAGCAGTGTTTTTCAACCTTGGCTACTTGAAAATGTGTGGAGAAATTCCGAGAGTTGAAGTCCACATATCTTCAGGTTGCTAAGATTGAAAAATACTGCTGCACAGTAAGTAAATCTCTAATATCCAAAGTTTCCCATTCGTTCTTCTGCTCTTCCACCACTCATATGGACGCATCTATCGGATCCGGAAGTCAAAATCCTTTTAGAACGATTGCTGCCTCCTCTTCCTTTTTCTTCATAACTTGGTCTCTAAGATAGGGGGACTGTAACGCGCGTTTGAAAATCTGGCAGCCAGAGTGGAAAAGCGGGTTTTGCGACAGCAAGCGGGATGGTTTTACGACAGTGTCAGGACATAGTTCTTTTAACCCGTTCCTCTCCGGGTATCCCCCCCCCTCCCCTTCTTCTTTTCACACGACAGAAGTTTTCACGAACCGGACTCCATCGGGAAACCTATTTCATCTTTCCCATTTCCAACGAAAGAACAAAAATGCCAATGTATATTCCCAGAAGGCTCACAAAAAAGCTCTCCCCATTTGTCCCCGATCTGATAGGGGCCAAACTTTACTGCCTTACAATAATGAATGCGCAACTTCCCTTTCAATGGCTTATCTAATGATTTCTTTAATTATTTTAAGGAAGTGGTCACGCAACTTCTGTCTTGTGTCAGCGAGTTCAAATACCAAAAAAACCATGGGGTGGGGGTGGGGAGAAGATCTAGGAGTAATTCTATCCCCCTCCTACCCACTCTGTTCCTTTTCAAAAAGCAGAAAAGTTCTTGATCAGCCAAGGATGAATCATCAGAATTTAGATATGAACTAACCAGGTTCATTTTTTAGGAAGTCCATGGACATGGACAGAAGAAAGGACAATTGTCCTGCTGCTTTGCAGCACTGATACTCAGGTGGGGGCCACAAGCCCAAAGCCTCCATAATTTTCTCCAGTTCCTTTTTATAATAATCTAAATCATATCTGAAATGCCACAATTATGTCTTCAATCTCAGTGAAGCGGTTGACATGATGTGCCAGTGCCTAGAGGCTGTCAGGGTCTGGATGTGGGTCAACAAGCTTGTTCTCAATCCAGACAAGACCGAGTGGCTGTTGTGTTTCCCTCCCGAGAATTTGGCCAGTATTCCATCA